GTGGTGCAGCTCTGCCCCTTCCGCTCTTTTTCATGGAGCTGTGAGGAAAGGCCTTGGACCAGCTCATACTCTGGCTTTGGCAAGACCCCTGCAGAGCTCCCTGCAGTCTGCATTTCGGGGAACCACCATGATTGATGCAGCCCCTCACGTTCAAAACTTCCACCTTTTCGTGGTTACCTGTCATCTGCCTCCCAGGTCATCTCCCAGTTTGTGAGTTGGGACATGAGTGAACATGGATTTCCTAAGGACAGGTGTTTGTTTGGGAGCTCAGGACTGGGAATGGTGAAGAGCCACTGTCGTACATGGCAGTAGCAGCCCCGTCTCTGTTTTGCTGTCGGTCGATCGTACCCTGTAATTGTGGAAGACTTGAGGTTTCAAGGAGTGGGAGGTTCCCCTTGGTGCCAGTTCTCATGAGGGCAGTTAATTAGCAGCAGTCTGGTGATCAATAGGGAGTTGGAATCCTCCCAGAGTAAGCCAGCCCGGTGCTTTGCAGAGGGTGAAATAATAAATCATGGATGGGGGAGTGTGGGGAGCCTTGGGGGGGCACAGCACATCCTCTGGCTTTGCAAGGGGGAGCCCAGGGCTGTACCAGACCTGGGTGGAGTTGTGGGACCTTCATGTGTTGGGTAACTATCTCCCTGAGTGATTAGGAAAAATTCTATGGGCAGGGACACCTTCCATTATCCCAGGTTGCTCCAAGCCCCCTCCAACCTGGCCCTGGACACTTGCAGGGATGGGGCAGCCACAGCTTCTCTGGGCAACTTGTGCCAGGACCTTACCACGCTCACAGGGAGGATTTCTTCCCAATATTCCATCTAACCCTGCCCTTTGTCACTGGGAAGCCATTCCCCCCGTCCTGTCATTCTAGGCCCTTGTCCAGAGCATTCCATGATCAGCCTGCACTCACTTCCACAGCCTGGATGTGCTGTCTGACCTGTTCCCAGCACTCGTTCAGCAAATATGTTCCTGTTCTCAGGCGAAGGAAAATCAATGACGTCTCAAATTGCCCGAATAAAGCTGTAATAAAGGTGGAGTTTGTCTTCCCAGCTCCCTGCCTGCTGCTGCCTGACAGGAAACCTCTCTGGGACATGGGAGCTGCCAGCTTTGCACCTTGATTGCTTAGAGATCCTCCCAGGCAGGAATGGCATCGTGGGTTTCGGCCCTGTTTAACCACTGGAGCTGCTGGAGATTGGATCAGAGCTCCATCCAGCCCGGGGAACTGTTGCTGGAGCAGAGACACAGGATTTCAGGGGCGCTGATAAGCTGAGTGATAACCCTGTGGTGAACCCACTCGCTCTGCCGGCTGCCCTGGGATCAACACCCGGAGCTGGCTTGGTCAGGGGCTGGAGGAGAACATGCCTGGCTGCTGGAGCAGATGGAGGCAAAGATCCTTCACAGGATGCTGACTCAGCATGGAGTTGTCCCACCCATCCACCCTGTGGAATTCCCCACAGTTCTGTGGCTGAGCCACCTCCAGGAATGCCGAAGATGGGAAATCATTAGACACCTTCCTTGTCCCCTTCCTGTCCTGGAACCTGTCAAAATCAGGCAGTAGTGGGGTCTATGTTCTTTCCAAAGGGCTTTCTTTTGGCTTGGGAATGCAATTTGGTGGTTTATCCGAGCTCCAGGGAGCCAGTTCTGCCTCGGTGTAGCAGCACACACGGAGCCCTCGGAGCCCGTGGGCTGCCTGGGGTTGTGTTGGGTCATGGTGGTGACTTTTTGTTTGGTTGTTTTTTTATTTTTTTTTTTTTCCTTTTTTAATATCTTCATTAGCAAGTCTGGCACTAAATGTAGTGATATTCTCTGAGGTGAATTTGGGTCCTTAAATATCCTGGCCTGAATAGAGGTATAAAAATAGCAGCCTTGCAGCAGTTACGTGCGTCTGCTGCTCTTCCCCCTGAAGGACGAGGCTGAATCCCTCCCATCCTGCTGGGAAAGCAGGTTGTGTTTTACCCTCCCTCCTGGGGGCTCAGGCCTGGTTTCCATGCCCAAAGGATGGTTCCTAAGGGATTTGTGTCCTGAAGATGGCCAGGCACTGGAAAAGTGTTGTCTCAGGCCCTCCCCACCTCCTGTCCTGTGCTCCCCAGCCCCGGTTACACTGCAGTGGAGGGTGATGGGTGCTCTGCAGGGGGGTGGGAGCTCTGGTTTGGGGGTTCTTTTTCTTCCTGTGCTCCAAACATGGAGGTTGTTCCTGATTTGCAAACACCCACGAGTGTCTCAGCCCTTGGGGTTTGATCTCCGCGTTTGACTCCCAGAGGACTCCTCAGCCAGTGGAACAGACCCCTGGGGGTGTCCTCCTGATGAGAAAGGGAAAGGGGCTGAAATCCCTTGTGGGGTGGTGGCTTTTGCCCAGCTCTTTGCTGTGCTCCTGCTGAGGGGTTGCATGGCCTGGAAGACATTCCAAATGGATGTTGTTGGCTGCTGGCGTGCCTGGGCCTCGGGTCTCCAGCTGGGCTGGGTGGTGGTGCACGAGTGGGGGGCCCTCATGGGGGGCTCAGATCCTTCAGAGTGTCCCAGGGACAGCCTGGACATGTCCTGTGTGGGCTCTGCAGAGCCACCTGCCCATCCAGCTGCTGCTCGGTGCCATCTGGCACTGCCAGGCCAAAGGGACAGGCCCAGGGTGGGGGTTCCTGCTGGTTCTCCCTGGTGCTGGTGGGTCCTGGTGTCCAGGACCCTCCAACTGTTCTGTCCTCCTGGGACCCCACAGACCTGGATTTATCCTCCTCTATCTCCAGCATCAGGTCCTGGCACGATGCTACAGTGACCTTGCCATGAACAGCTCATCCTGGGGCTGAAATGGCACAACCCTGGGTAGAGTTGAAGCTGCAGCTCCAATTTTCTTCAAATCTGGCTGCTCTGTGCTTCTGTTTTATCTTTCTGACTCTTTTTTTTTTTTTTTTTTTTTTTTTTTTTTTTTTTTGGAGCGTTTCACAGGAGGCTCCTGCTCCTGACCCGGCACTGCTGCTGGGAGGCAGTCGCTGTCAGCTCTAATCCAGCTCATTTTCAGATGGAGAGAATTCCCAGCAGTGCTGCTGGTGTAAAGCAGCCTGGCTGCCCTGGGGGCAGAGCCGGGCTCTCCAGCGCTCAGGGATGCTCGCATTCCTGGCTCAGTCCCGCTCCCTGCGGCGCCGGGAGGTGTTTGCCCCGTGCTCTCGGGACAAGGGGCAGTGCCAGGGCAGCAGGCACCGCTGCACTAATTTCCATGGAGAACAGGAAAAACGTGGGCGTCCTTCATTCAGCCTCTCCTCCAACACCTTCCTAAAGGTTGGGAACTGCCACGAGAGGGCAGGAGCTGATGCTGCTATTCCTAGTTTTGGTAGAAAAGGCTGTAAATAACAGTTCCTAAGGACTATCCCAATGATTTTCCTTTTTCTGGAAGGTTTGGTCCCCGAGCTGCTGTTTCATCCATGTCCTTGGCTGTTTCCTTCCCAGGGTGAGAGCAGGAAAACCCCCATGGAGTGAGGACGGTCCAGAGCTTCTCCAGGCCAGGAGAGCAAAGGGAGCTGCTGCACAGTCCCCAAATATCTCCCAGCCTTCCTTTGCTTCCAGAGGGTCCCTCTCCACTTTGAGATGGCTGAAGCCCCTCCTGTGTCATAACACACGTTCTCAATGAAGGTTTTTTTCCTGCTCATCTCGAATTAGGAGGATAATGTCCAATTTCAGTGCCTGGGAGAGATTTCAGAGTAACAAAACAGGAGCTCCAGCAGCAGCTGAGAGCCTCGTGCCACCCTCTGTGTCACCCGGGGCTGGGAATTCCAGTCCAGGTTTGAATAAAAGGGAGAATGATTAACCAGAAAACGAGCAGGGTGCTACAGCTGCCTGGAGATGGGTGAGAGGAAATCACTGCAAGCCTCTGCTGCAGCAAGGCTGGGTTTTACTGGGGTTTGCTGGGTCCTTCCAACCTTTAACTGCAAGGACCATTTAAGAGTCATTAATCTCTTCCTTGCTACAGGAAGCAGCAGATTCTCCCCAGGGTAAAATGCTCTGCCACACCTGAGGACCAAAGGCTTCCAGCAGGGAGAGCTTCCCAGACAAGGAATATCAACAGCGGCCTCTGGGAACAAAGGAATGGCGCTGGACTCGGGAAGGGCTGGCTGCAAACATCCCCCCACCGTGCCCGGGGGTGAGGGCTGAGCTGTGTCGGAGCTGAGCACTCACAGGCTGAACACAAACCTCGGGAAAGGTGGGTGAAGGTCTTAGATATGCTCAAGATGTGTCAAAAAAACCCCAAAATCCAACTAAACCCAGAGAAAATAAGCAAAAAACCCCCCTAATAATGCAGGTGGCAGTGTGGGATCTGCTTGTAGAGCATCCTAAATATCTTACAGTGCCTCAAATCCTGGCTTCTGGAGTTTAGGATTTTTGCCTTTTTAGATCTTTGCTTTTCACTGCTTTAACTTTTCCAAGGGTCCTGGCAGCTTGGCTGGGAAGAGGGAAGCTGGGGTGGGTCTGGTTGGTCTCAGTGGGGTTAAACATCCAACAGGAGGAGTTCAGGGTGTTGTAGCACCAGGATGCAGAGCTGTGTGTGAATAAATTCGGTGTGTCCTTGTGGGCACCGGGGTTTAACAGGTTCCTTGTGCCTGGGAACTCTGTGGGGCAGTTTTGCTCCAGCTGGAATGGGGGCAGGTAACTGTGCTCAAGGGAAAATGGATGTTTCAGCAGTAGTAGGTTCAGTGTTTGCCTCTGGAGTGTTCCAAACACAGATATTTATCCTGCTACTGTAGAGAACTGCTTCCCAAATACTTCTGAAAAGGAAACAAAATTCCTTTTGCCTCCTCTGAGCCAAGAGGAAATATTTATTAATTTGGATTCCAACATGACTCAGTTCAGAGATTACATGATCTGTCAAAACAACTGGTGGAAGAGCTTTACTGGAAGTGTGGAGTCAACAAAAGCAAGACAGGAAAAATGTAAGAGATGAAAAATCATCCTTAACCACATTTGGAAAAGCATTTATACATCGTATCAAAGGTGCTAATGCTCCCACAGTGATCACATGATGTTTTCAGAAATGCTATTTATTCAATCTCGCTGCTCAGCACGAAATAAGAACAATCTCTGCCTGGAGTCTTTGTCCTGGAGGCTTTGTGGTTCCTCACTGTGTGTTATTACTCGTGTTTCTACAGTTTGAGGTCTTGGTAGTTCACTTCTAGGGTGGTATCCTCACTCTCCCAGGCACCTCCTGGGATTTGCAGTCAAACACAAGAGGTTACATGCCCAAAATTCAATCTGAAGATGACTAAGCAATTAGTCATTCCATTGTTACATGCACTTCTTTCTCTCCTGCGCCTGTAAGAGCAGAGCCTGGGTGACTTAGGGCACAAACAAAAGCCCTGAGCAGCAGAAAGACAAATAAATATATTTAGACAATTGGGTTTATTCAGCCTAAAAGAAATGCTCAGAGGGGGATGCATTTCACCAGCCTGTTTTTGGAAGGTGCAATAATTTCAGTTCCCCATTTGTACAACAAAAACTCCCCAAAATTACTAAAAAGAACAGGTTTTGCTGTTGATTGCATCTTGATTTTTTAACCACAGGAAAACTGCTGCAACCGTGAACTTTCCATTTCATTATTGATATAAAAAGTGTACAAAAGGCTGTTATAAAAACATTTTGTCCCAGATTGTGAGGCAGTCTGATACTGCTCATAAAAATGCTGAATATTATCTGATGGCATTAATTTACATAATACTTCAACCTGTAACTTACTGAAAGGACTGTACTTGGTAGTTATTCCAAAGCCTCATGGGCTTGTGCTTCTTTTGGAATAATTCTCTCAGTTTAACCAGCTCCACCTTTCCCTAAAAAGCCACAAAGTGCTCAACTTCTCTGTGAGCCTTTTGAGCACCTCCTGGCACAGTTCAGTACTTGTGGAGCCCTTGTGCCCCAGGCCCCAGGGAGGGGCTCTGCAGGTCACTGGGGGTCACGTCGTAGCCCAACTTCTTCAGGTCCTTGGTCATGACGTTGAAGGAAATGGTCACAAAGCCTTGGGATCTCACCCTCGTCACTGCAAGAGAGATGACGGGAATAAATCCAGTCAGAGGAGGTTTTTCAATGGCTGTTGAGCTCAGATATCCAAGGAGGATCGTTCTCAGCTGCTTTTCCCACCCGAAGATGGACGGCCAAGCTTAAGCCAGGACTCACCTTCTCGTCCCTCTCCCTGTGCCACAACTTTGGGGTCAGTAAATTCCGGGCGTCTCCCTGTGAGCCAACTTGGAGAAGAACACAGAAAATAACAAACTGGATTGTTGACATTGATCCAGTTCATTACATGCATGCCAAAAACACACAGAGGGGTTGATCAGACTCCCAGCTTTGGCTTGCAGCAGAGTTTGGAAGCTTGATTCACTTTATTATCTACTTCGATCAAAGCTAAATTTTGTCTCTCTAAGGAAAAAGAAAAAAACAAACCCAAAACTAATTTCATGCACATGATGGTGAATCCAGGTTATTTCTGGGCTAGACAGAATCCTCCTGTGGCAAAGGAATTGTTGGAACTGATTCACTCTTGATCACCCAGAGAACCAGAGAGGCTTGGACACTTCGAATACACAGAAAAATAGACAAATTAGTGTAGGGCCTACAAAAAGGGAATCAGAAAGAGAAGAAATCAGCTGAATCCTGACAATATTGTGCAAGGGAAAAACCTCAATACCCTCAGTTGCTGTGTACAGACTGCTCTTGGAAGGATGTGTGTGTGTGTGTGAACAAGATAAAGGTTACAGCAAATGCGTTCCAGGTGGGAGAAAAGGTAGAATGGGAATTGTTTTTCCATGTTCTTTGCTTTCCAGGTTGCTCTTAATGGGGCTGTGCTTCAAAAAAACACCCTAAAAAGATTTAGGTAGTAAGTTCAGTACAGTAAAGAGGTAGTTAACATGTTTTTAGAAAGCTTTTCAAAATACTTACACAGCTACAAATGTGATTTTACCTACAAACCACAAAACTACCAGGTTATGGTACAGAATATTCACATGTGCACCAGTGATTTGCTGGACATGCCTTTGTGACTAAGGGCAAGAAGGACTTTAAAAACATAAAGTCATTAATTATTACCTTGTAAACTGCTGCAGCCTCGATGTGGACTCTGGAACAAACATAGCAATGGTTCTTCTGTGCCTGAAGCAAAAAGAGACCCAGAGAACTTCAGAAATGGAGCAAAGAGCAAGGGGTTTTATATTTATAAAGGCACCAGAATTTCAGACACGTCAGAACACGGAACATCTCGAGGTGGGATACTTTTCCTTCCAAGAAGGAAGGGTTTGTTTGCATAGGAACAGTGTACATTCCTCCATTTCCAGAGGTGGGAATGAAAGCTTATTGAGTGCTGAGAATGATGGGGGAGAGGCAATTTACTGTGCTTCATATCTGGGCTTTTTACAGGCCAGTTTTGGCTTTGCAGGTGTTCACAGGACTAACAAAAATTATTTGATGGTCAGGGGCTTCTAGAAAATCCGAGCCCTTTGTACCATACAGACAAGGCGTGATGAGGAGACACGGGAGCATTTTTGTTTCTGAAACAACAGAGTAACTGGGACAAAAATCTGTTTCAGTCCTGAAAGACAGGCTGTCACTCACCTTCCAGGTGTGAAGGGCACGTGAACAGCTCCATAACCTCTGACCACGTCGTGTCCGAAGAAGTCAGGCCCGTAAACACTCAGCACAATCTGTGGCCCTGCAAGGAAGGAGGTGTGAGAGGAGGGGCTGGTCTGGGGGCTGGAAATCCCCCCCCAGCACTCACAGCCAAAAGGGTTGGTGCTCTTGAAGGTGATGTCGATGGGGAAGTTCCACACGAGCGTGGTGGGCGAGACGTCGCTCTTGGAGGTGATCTGGGAGATTCCCTCCTCCAGACCCTGCGGGGGGAAGGTGGAGTCAGCTGGGGGCTGAGGGGGGCCTGGCAGCCCCCAGGATGGGGGTGTGGGGGCATGGTGGGGCTGTACCGCGGTGGGAACCCAGTCCTGGCCATAGACGAAGCAGAACTTGCAGTAGAGGTCATCGAATCCAGGGAACTGTGGGAGAGAGGGGGATGTCAGTGGGGATTTCTGGGGTGAGGGTCTGCCCAAAGAACAGTGCTGAGGGCAGAGCTGAGGGCAGCCAAGGTTTGGGGGGGCTGAGACCAGGCAGGGTTAGGAGGGGCTGAGGACAGACTGGGTTTGGGGAGGCTGAGACTGGGATGGGTCAAGGGGTTGAGGCCAGGCAGGCTCAGGGAGGCTGAGATTGGGCTGGTTTAGGGGGTGCTGAGGCTGGGCTGGGTTCAGAAGGCTGAGGACAGGCTCGGTCGGGGGGGCTGAGATTGGGATGGGTTCAGGGGCCGAGGCTGGGCTGGTCAGGGGGACTTAGGACTGGCTGGGTTTGGGGGGGCTGAGGCCGGGCAGGCTTAGACGGGCTGAGGTTAAGCTGAGTTAGGAAGGGCTGACACTGAGCTGAGTTAGGGGGTGTTGCAGCCAGAGTGGGTTCGGCTGGGTTGGGGAGGTGGCTGAAGCCGGGCAGGGTCCGGAGGCAGAGTCTCATCCCGCCGGGCGGACACGGGACCGAGGACCTGGCTCCGCGCTGTCGGTGCCGGGGGCCTGTCCTGCATCCCGAGGGTGTCCCGGGGGTGTCCCCGGTGTGTCACCCACCTGCCCGCTCTCGATCTCCCGCGGTCTCACCCACCTGCCCGCTCTGGATCTCCCGCGGTCTCACCCACCTGCCCGCTCTCGATCTCCCCGCTCACGGCCAGCAGGAACACGCTGGGCGCCGCCATGGCGGCCGCGCCCGTTGCCATGGGGACGGACGGGGCGGCGCGGCGGACACGCTTCCCCCGCGTCCCGCTTCGCTTCGCGGGGCTCCCGCTCCCCAAAACCGCCCCAAAACCGCCCCAAAACTCGGCCTGACCACCCCCGTCACCCCCGAGACAGCCCTGTGTCACTCGGGACAGCCCCGCTGCCCTCAGCACGGCCGGCCCGCAGCCCCTCACCCCTTGGCAGCCCCGCCGCCCGCTTCCCCTTTGTCCTCGCACTGCCCCACATTTAGAATTCCTGGCGTTATTTTTTATTTAATATCAACGTCTGTTGATATTTTTTTATTTAATATCAATGTCTGTATCAGCGCCAGCCTTCCCAGCAGCTGGTCCCAAGCCTGTCAGAGTCCAAGGAGTGCTTGGACAACGCTCTCAGGCTCATGGTGGGATTTTGGGGTGTCCTGTGCAGGGCCAGGAGTTGGACTCGATGATCCTTGTGGGTCCCTTCCAGCTCAGGGTATTCCATGATTCCGTGGTGTCGAGGCCATGGCCACTAGATGATGCTGCTGGCTGAGCCGAAGCAGCTCCGGCTCCTGGGTGAGGGCCAGAGCCACGAGGTGTTTCCAGGGAGGAAAAGTGGGAATAGTGATGAATTTTGTGGTCTCCGGAAGGTCACCCTACGAGCCAAGCTGATGAGGAGAGGGGGAGGCCAGTGGGGCTGTTAGTGTCCACAGCACGGTGATTATTCCTTATGGATGTAAGGATAAATGCCTCCCTAATTCTGGAGTCTGAATGCGGCTGCCACGCTGTGGGAGGGAAGGGGAGGAAATGGGATGGGGTTGGTTTAATGAGAACGCACTAATTAAAAGGAAGGAGGTGAGTTTAGTGTGTAAAAAAGGTGGACGAATGTGCCGAGACTTTGCAGAGCTGGAACTGCCGAAATCTGCTGCCGGGACTTCTTGTTTCCCTGCAGGGACCACAACGTGACGGGGCTGGGCTGGTGACACGACGGTGTTGGCTTGGTGATGTGACAGTGCTGGCCCTTTGGGACCGTGGTCGTGCCACTGCTCCTGCCAGGAATCTTTGCTGCCCACGCGCACGTCAGCGCCACGGAGACTCACCAGCCCGGCCACCATCTGCCACGCTTCATCCCTTCCCCTCCTTTCTCCATCCCACACCACGTTCCCCTCGCTGTGAGGAATTTGTGGGGCATTTGGTTGCTGCCAGACCCTCTGGGGAAGGACGGGAGGAAAGAAGGAAGCCCTGGCTTGGCGCCTGTTTGGGTTTCCCGCTGTAGCCAGTTGGAGCCCTTTCACGGATGGGCTGAGCAGAGATTTATGGCCTCAGTCCTTGTCCTCATCCACTGTCTCCTTTTTCCCTCCCTTTGGCATACTGGTGGAGGTGGCTGTGCTGCTTTGGCTCCCTGCAGTGCCACACCATGGGCTGTTCATTGCAGCCTTTCCCTAAGGAAAGGCACCAAGACACCCTTTTCTGCTGAAAGGGCTGGTGTGTATAAATACTGATGGCCCTGCCCATGGCAGTGGGTGAATGAGATGGTTTTTAAGGTCCTTTCCAATCCAAACCACTCTGGGATTCTATATTCGACTGAAAGTAAACTACCATTACATTTCATGCTGAAAAATACCTTCCATGTTCCAATAAATGTATTCTCTGTCAGTATCTATCTCAACTCGATTTTTCAGGCCAAACAAATTTGGCCAAGAGAAGAATGGGAGAGAAAAGCAGGAGGGATGGGAGGGAATGCCTGAAATTTTATCCTTTCTCCCCTGCCCTTCAGAAATGCTTCAGAGAAAATAATTCATTTGAACTGAAAATTATATGGGGGGAAATAAAGCAGTTTTGGAGCAGCTGTCTGGAGCAGTTAGTGAGGCTGTTTAATTAACACTGCATTTGGCTACCAGCTACCTTGGAGCTTGCTAAGAGCCAATTTAAGGAATTTTTTTGTTGCCTGGCAAGTGATATACAGGTGCTGGAGGAATTCTATCAGCACTGGGAGACCTTCCCCATGACAGAGACACAGCAGGAGGCTTTTTCAGCAGCCGTGAGTCATCTGTACCTGCCTCTGGAAGGGCTCTGTCCCCTCCCAGCCATAACAAGACCTTTTAGTCTTTCCTCCCTTGCACGCCAGCCTTGTTCTAATTGGCTGCACTTTTAATCTTCCTGAGCAGAACGAAATCCCAAGCAAGGAAGTGTTTTTATCCTGCTGGAAAACTTAATTAATGATCCATCAGAGAGTTTGGTTTCCAAGCATAATGAAAGCCTGTGGATCACGGCGAGTCCACGGGTGTTATTTAACGAGGCTGCTGTTTCTCTTGGTCACCTAAAACATTCACCTCCTCTCCTGGACTTGTCCTGATCCTGTGATTTGTGTTGAGACTAATGGGAAGCCTCACAGGGAGGAAGGACATGTACCTGGTGATCACTGACTTGTCATCTCTCGCAGGTGCTGTGCCCAGGTTGGATCCCAGCTCCAGAAGAACCATTCCTGGTGTCCCTTTAGCACTGACTCCCCCGCCAAAGGCATGTCAAGAAGCTGAGGGATTTATGTTTTCTTCATTCCCAGAAAGAGCCAGGGTTTGGAAAAATCCAAACTACTTGGAGCTCTGTCACTGAGAGCTTCTTAATCAAGCTCTGTACCATGAGCTGAACAGGCTGCCTGGCTCCTGGTCCATTGGCTCCCAGAGAACTCTTGGAGTGTCTGCGTGCCCTCGATTCCCTAGGGATTGCCTCCACACTTGTGTGAGTGGGAATTGAGCCCTGCGGAATGAGAGAGCAACGGGGGGCTCCCCTTCTCCTGGGAAAAGCTGCCAGGCAGCTGTGACAGGGATACCTTGGGCTGGATCTCCTGCCGTGCCCATCGCCCATCACCCTGGCTCTGGGCTCCTGCAGTGTAACTGCAGCAGAAGCAGCAGCAGATCCCTGTGCTGCTGCCTGGGAAAGGGAGTGGATGGACATCCAGTGCTGCTGAGAGGTAGCAGGAAGCAGGTACTTTGTCTGCCTTACCTGTTCAACTCCGATTACAGCAGCCTCGGGGCTGATCCATCGCTGCCAACAGGAGCTCGGGGAAGGTGGGAGAGACACAAACAACAATACAGTGGCATGGCAAACAGAAGTTTATTTTTAATCCCAAATATTTATGATCAACACCTGCTAAATGGCCAGTGAAATACATTTTATGGCATCATTTATCTGCAATAAACCAGTTTTATTTTTAGACTGTTTGCACAACGTTGACTCATCCCTGCCTGTGCCTTCTCCCTGTGAGGAGGCTGCAGGGAGCTTCCCTGCCTTTTGTCTTCCCTGCCTTTTGCTCCTGCACTTGGAGCTTTTCCCTCTTGCTGCTCAGATCAAATGGTGTGGAAGGAAGGGGATATTCCTGCTCTAATTCTTGCTGAATACATTCACCTGGAGGTTTAGTTTGGTGGGAAGGTACCTGGGTGAAGACAGGTGTGTTACGTGTCTAAATCATGGAGTGGTTTGGGTTGGAAGGGACTTAAAGCGCCTCTCATTTCATCCCCTGCCGTGGGCAGGGACACCTTCCACCAGACCAGGTTGCTCCAAGTCCCATCCAACCTGGCCTTGAGCACTTCCAGGGATGGTCCAGCTCTGCCCCCATGTCCAGCCCTGTGCCAGGCAGGGCCCTGCTGGGTACGGGAGATGTCGCTGCCAAGGAGCTGCGAAGTGCCTGGTCTTCCTCAAAGAATTAATTTGACTGGAACTTGTTATCATTGGTGAGATTTTTATTTTGGTTAATGAGCAAAATTAATTAGTAGCTTGGTCTGAGCCAGTCAGAATAAATTGACAAGTAGGCAGGAAAGGGGAAGAGGATGAGGAGGACCCAAGGAGCTGGTTCCCAGCAGGGTCATTGGATTTGATAAGGGCATGAGGAATAACCAAGCTCTGGGGAAAAGAGGGGAAAGGGCATGAAGTCATTCTGCTTATCAGATGCCCACTCTGGTGGTGACTGCATTTTTTGGGGATAACTCAGGTGGGAGAGCTGTTCTCTGTGCACCTGACAAACCTTGGGGACGTCTCCACGGGCAGCTTGTGCCTCTGCATGGGGAAAAGTGGAATCAACAATAAGCTGCTCCAGGGGATTTCAATCAAATATTCAAATAATTAATCTGGTTTCTTCCCCGTGGTGTGACAAAATGAGAGTTGTTAGCATTTTCTCCCTTTCATCATTAACAGATTTATTTCTCACTGGATAGTCCAGTGGCCACAGCTGGAAAAAACAACCCAACCCTGATGTACAAGTGAGTGACACAACTCCTGGCATGAGGGACAGCCTAAGGTGGGGATGAAACCCTCCTGGTGACATCTCTGTGTGCATCAGTGTCAAACCAGGGCATCATCGAATAGAATCAGAATATCTTGAGTCAGAAGTGACCTACAGGGATCACCAAGTGGTGCCAAAACCCATGGAGTGCATCAGTGCCACTGCACATCCCTCATTCCAGAGAAAACCCTCTGCACCCTCCCAGTGGAGCTGACCCCATGGAAAGGGCTAAAACCCCTCGTGGGAGAGGCAGAGCTGCCTAAGGCAACACCATTTTGCTGGAAGAGGACGGAGCACCCACCTGGCGTGAGCTGGAGTTATTCCAGGGGCATGGTGGGGCTCCAGCACAGAGACATGTTGAGCTGCTTAAAAAGCAAGGAGTGACAAAGATTTCCCCTCAGCCCACGCTGTGGCTCTGTCAGGCTGTGCTAAAATTCCTAATTAAGTGCCCCTGTCTGGAAGATGAGTGGCCTCAGCCGTTAAAACACAGCCACAGCATTGAAAGCTTAAAAGGGGGAAGTTTAATGGATAAAGTCAATTTAATTATTTATCCTAAGAAAGCTTGTACAAATATCAAATGCTTATTAGCATTCATGCAACCTGTCTGATCTCACAGCACAGACAGATTAAGGGCTGGGGCTAATTTGGAGTCACGTTTGGTTGTTGGTGATTTTTAAGGCTTTTTTTTTTTTTCTCCCCAACACAACAAAGAGAATTTCAGATCGAGATTTACCCTTGAAGCAGA